ACTAGAATTCAGTGTTCAGTGGATGAAGCCAAGTTACTCAATAGATTGGAAATCTATATAAAACATTTCCCATACTAGTTACATACAAGGTCAATGCAAGTTTTTTTACTACTCTAGGCAAAACAACATTTTGCTGACCCCCGCCCCCCACCACGCCAATATGCTACGTCCATGGTATGACATCACACTGACCATAGCGCAATATGCGCCGCCTGTGGTGTATTTAAAAGAAACACTTTTATAAACGATCACAAATGTAACAGGCTTCATGCAGCAAGCAGAGGGGCTTTAAGTTTTCTGGAGTTTTCCTTTAAAGGGCCACTCCAAACACCATAACCACTACTGCTAACTACCATTAATGAATTGTCAGCTGCTACTCTCGGCCAATCTCTGCCGTCTCCTTACTGGCTGTACCAATACTACTGCATTAGCCGAAGAGAAGAGAAGAGGGAGAGAACGGTTACTGATGGCACATATTTAGTGTTAAATTATTTACAAACAATTTAACACTTAAATATAAGGCTGTTCCAGGGACTCCAGGCACTATAACAACTTCAATGCGATTTAAGTAAACCCATACCTTTAGGTTGTTTGTAGTAGTTTATTGCTGGGCCCTGTGGCAGCAACGAGATGGACTGTAAAAACTTTGGTTAGTTAGAGCATTTTTATTTGAATTTATTTGGGTTTCTAATAGTTTTTGCCATTTCAGGGCGCCAGACGCAACAAATGTGATGACACTGAGCAGAAAGGAGAGGACCCTTTGGGTATGTTAAAACATTGTGTGTGTGGCTGTTATATCTATCTTTGGGAAGCCTAGTAACAATTCTCCTAGCAAGACATTCCTTCTTCTATAACTTTAATAATAGGTTTCTGTTCATTTTTTACCAGGAAGGACACATCCAGATTTCTCTGGTTTGATTGCTTCCTGCAGAGTTTGTACAAAATATACAATGTTGACATTTCTGGGACATTAGATTGCAGAGTTAATATTTTGGGGAAGGTAGATCCATTTGTATATATTCAGACGTCGTTTCCATCTTGTGAGTCTCTTCTAACCCCCTTACTCCTTGTATCCCCCCACCCATAATGCACTACTGTCTTAGTCCAGAAAAGATCTGGAATGTTCCCATTCTTTTTAATGACAATGCTAAGCATATCCCATAAACTCAGCAGGTGTATGTAGTTCAGCACTTGGCAGTAGTTTCATTCACTAATAGTCATGAAGAAACTGTTTATTGAGCTGCGTACTCCGTTGATGTTTATAACTCAATGGAACCAGTGGTTGCATCTCATTTGTAAACATAACAAATGCTCCCCCCAAGAAATGTAATTTAAGTGCATTTCAATATCAATATTTATATATTGCTATCAAAATTTATGTAAAATTAAATTACATATATATAAAGTATTTATTTACGTATTATTTTTACATAATAATGTGATTTTATTGATTATAAATTGGGGGACCTGCCTGACAACCCAGGCAGAAAGTCCAGTGAATTCAATTTACAAGCCCTATATTTAACCTTGTAACTTTCCAAAACACCGTAAAACCTGGACATGGGGGCTACTGTTGTACTTGTGAGACTTGGCTGAAAACAAATACGTATGTTTTAAAAGAGTAAATTATTTAATGACGATGATATCATCAGTGAAAATGCAGCTTTTCTGTGACAAATGCAAATGTTTGGACAGGGTTTGTGACTAAGTGGCTCCTAAAAGATTAGATTTACCCCATTTGCAAAACCCTGGGTTGTCTACGTTTACAAATGGTTTGCCATGATGGGGGTAATTCTCATTCCTGGCCTGCCATACTGCCTTAAAGGCAACTAAACCAACAAATTTCAAGGTGCAAAAACTGCAAAGGGGGAAGTACTATATGTAACCCTGTAACTTTCCAAAAATCCATAAAACCTGTATATGGCTAAACATAAATATGTGCATTTTATTGCACTAAAAGTTAACAGTATTATGACATTTAAAGGTAAAGTGCCACAGAGTACTTTTTAATTTCTCAAACTTTTTATTTTATTTTATTCATATTAAATTATGTTTCATACATAAATAGTTTATTTTTGTGAAATGAAAACCCTCTTTCTCTTGAACAAAATTGTATGTAATACGTGTGGGTGCACTTAATATGAAAGAGGTAAGCTATGGTTAAACAATATATATCTCAAATTCAAGGTTTGGTTTTGAACAGAACTTGGATAACTTCCTCCATCCTTAAGGGCTTAAAAGATATAGGACAAGGCAGGGAATAATATTATGTTGTAGTTATAATTATCAGAAGACAAAAGCAGGGATAGGGAAACTTTGGGCACCAAAACATTTGAGAGCACATAACATATTATGGTACATGAAGTGTCTGAATAAAAGTGTATGTATAAAAAGATCCTATAATTTGTCATGTTGCCTTACTTGTATTGTGTGATATTTCAAACCAGTGAATGAACAATATTGTCTGTCTACATTGTGATTTGACTACTGTCTTTTTTATTATTATTTATAGAGTGTCCAATTACTCCAAACTCTCCTAAAATTGCCAAGGGCTCAGCTGTAAATGGTAGTTTTTCCTCAATTGATCTGAACTCTCCTAAACGTATCGTATTGGCAGCTAATACCGAGTCATCAAAGGACATCCCTAAACATGTAGCTCAACCGGATATTGATAAAGTTAGGGAGCAGATCAAACAGGAAATTAGAAAAGAACTTAAAATTACAGCAGGAGCCAGAAACATGGTAAAGGCTACAACCAAGAAAAAACATCTTGCAAAAGTCAACAAGTTTCTCAAAACATCACAAAAAAAACTGGATGACCTTTACATTAAACTTCAGGAGCGCAATGCGCATATTGTTGTGCCAGACGCAGAAGGTACATTCCAAGACTTTGTGTTTCCTTGTAATGAGTGTGTGTATGTGCTTGTTTATTGTAAATATATTTCAATCATTTCCTGGAGAACATGGATAAATACTATGTTACGCATCCAACATGTAAATGTAACCTACAGATATATAGAGGAACGTTAGCAGTACTGTTTTTCTTTTTTTTTCATTTTATAATCAGGTGGATGTTTTAGAGACTTCAAACAGCAAATCGTAACTTTGGATCAGTTACTGCACTCGTGATGTGCTGTATGAGATTGTAGAATGACTTATAGAAAAGATCACTTACTGAGCATCAGATCAGCCACATTATACAGCGTGAAAACGTGCAGAATAAAATAAATACTGGCTGAGGAAAGCTTAGCCTTGTTAGTTTTACAGAAACATAAAACAAAGATTTGCAGCTTCTCCAGCGAGCTCTGTTTAGATGGGAAATCTCTCACCCAAACCTGGTAATTGCATTATTCCCTATGAGAGCCTATATGGGGGGTTTGTGAAAACACACAGAGTTACAATGTGGCTTATAGAATGACCCCAATTATGTTGTGACTGGCTATAATAATGGCAATCTCACTGACATATATAGAAGTTGGAATAGTTAGTGGATGAGTTTATGACGTGACACCTCAAAGAGAATACTGTTCATACCGTCTCGTTATGATGTCATCAAGCACAGGGACGTTTAGCTGCAGTGATTTTTGTTGTTTTTGTTGATTTTCTGCTGCTCTCAGGTTTTGTGTAGATTACAATATCTTTACTTACAGATGTTACTGTTATTGCCTTTTTTATTTATTAAGTGAAACTGTCTGCCGACATTTCTAAATTCTGTATTTTTTTTTTCTTGTTACTAATTTCCGTGATGTCCAGAGATCTCAGCTGCTTTTAAAGATGACACCAGCTCCCAGGCAGATAACGGGAAGCTGACTGCTTTGCAGAAACAGCTAAGCATTGAGCTGAAGGTGAAACATGGAGCAGAGATAATGGTCGGTGCATATTCAAATGGGTATTCCAAAGTAAGTTGGTTATATTTAAATAAGAGACAGAAAAAAATTCTTTAAACTTTTTTTTTTTGGTGTGGGAGTGGTGGAAACACATTGTACAATGCATAATTTTTTTCAGCCCAACAGCATTTTATCTGATTTAAGCTAATAGTATGTTGGTGATATTTGTTCATGGAATCAAGAGATGCGATAGAAACTACATTTCCATGAGTTTGCCGACACCATCTCAACTATTTAGTTGAAGGCACAAGCTTTTCTTGATCGGCCATTAATTATTTTTAATATTTCTAATTGCAAAGCATGCAACCAATGTGTATTTAATTTTCTATGTAAAGATTATAATGTGTATCTTGTTCCATAATGCATGTGTCTATAATTTAGTTTGCCTGCACAGAAGCACTGTGGTGTTTGACATCTGGGTGAAAATCATTGTTTAAGGGGTAATAATTAGATCAAAACATAGTCCATGTCTGTCCTGGGGTGTGAGCAGTCAGGGCTTATTTCCTAGAATAGGGTAATTGAGGCTACACTTCTTCATACATCTCACTCAATTATCTGACTATTCTTATTGCTGTTACAGAATGTCAAACATCTTACTGCTGTCCAGAAAATACTACAAGACAGCGAGAACAAAATAGACAGTTTACGTGACTTAATTCTGGAAGAAACATCTATCATTAAAGGTAAAGGTTCAGTAACCTCATATGTAGTTTAAAAGAAGATTTATGGGTAACAATGAAAACTGTTCAAAAACGGTTTGACTACTTATAATGGGATCCAGGGCACTCCTGGCACCATAACCACTACTGCAAGATATAACTCTCTTACAGGAAGGTATGAGAGAGCGGTGTATATCCCGTAGACCTCTATACTCCAAGGGTTTGTGAGGAAATGTACAGATTATTATTAATGTATAGCACCAGGAAATTCTGCAGCGCTTTACAGTGGGTGGACTAACAAACATGTAATTGTAACCAGACAAGTTGGACACACAGCTACAGAGGGGTTGAGGGCTCTGTACGATGAGCTTACATGCTAGAGGGAGTGGGGTAAAGTGACACAAAAGCTAAAGGAAGTATAGGGAAGTAATGACAGTTGCAGGAGAGGAATCAGTCGGGAGCTACTAACAGTTTAACTGATATGCTTTTGTGAAGAAGTGGGCTTTTAATGATTTTTTTGAAGGAGTGGAGACTGGGTGTGCGTCTAACGGAGAAGGGATGGGAGTTCCACAGGAAGATTGTAGCCCTAGAAAAGTCTTGAAGGTGAGCATCAGAGGTGGGAGTACGGACTGAAGATAGACGTCCTCTTAGAACTGGGAGCAAAGGGAGTTATACCAACACGCAAATACATTTTATATTATTTACAAAACATATATCTTAGACATCTGTACATGAGCCGGTTAAAGCATTGGGAATGTTACTGCCTTAGAACTGGGAGACCAAGGTTTGAATCCTGGTTTAGACCTTGCCAGTAAGTGTCTGTGGGTAGGATTAATTACTGAATGGATGTACGTTGAGCAGAAACTTCATTAAACCTAAATATCCCCTTTCGATAATTGTAAACCACTGCAGAATATGTTGGCGCTATATAAGGGATAATAGTAATATCCTGAAATAATTTGCAAAACATTTTACAAGATAAATTCTTGTTAGTCAGTCCCTTTAAAAAATAGCTTTTATATCAAATAGTTCACTGAGAGATATTAAAACTTACATATTAAGGTGGCGATCAAAGCCTGACTTAGTGTAAATCAAACATACATTCTGCTGGGTGCTTTAAGCCATTTATATCAAATCAAGATCAGTGACCAGAATATTGTCAGAGAAACTAATGACAGACACCTACCTGCGTCTGGAAAAATTCAGAAATCTATGTTCACCTAGAAACAAACAGATGGAAAACACACTTCCTGAGTCTCATGCCAACACACCAGTCGGGATGGTCATCAATGCAGACATGAGAGGGACTTGCAGGTGCTCCTCCAAGGGAACAAATGTGTAAAATTCCAAATAGTGACCTTTGGGTTGATAGGTTCTGGGATCATAATGTCTTCTTTAAGGACATATCAAAGCTTCTGAATATAAAGAGCATTAAAATATATAGAGATATAATGAACATTCTAAAAACAAGGCAGCTCTATGATTAACATGATGTTCATATGAAAGAAAACCACCTATGGTCCTTTAAATGGACAATTCTTAATTGTTCTCCGATGAGAGCTGAATTACTGCAATAGTCTCCTTCGAGAAAGGCAACTTCAAATGTGCCCAGCACTGTGAATTTATTCGCTAAGCATTGTGGAATACCATATTCCAAATGTTGACAGGCAGGTGATGCATGCGCATCAATTCTAACAGCCATCCTGCAGGAGGTGCATGCTTCATTTCAGCTATACAGTATATAAACAGGATATATATCTATTGAACATTTATTGTGTCCCCTCCAATACTACTGACATTATTAGTTTATACATATATGAGTTATACATGATATTATGGGTTTACATATAAGCATTATTAGTGTTTGAAAAACTGATTCTTCTATAAAATGAAATATCATAAAGATCTATGATTGGAGATTGTGGTTCTTGTTTTATTCTCTTTAGCATTGAGGTGAAAATAATTGGAGTATCATTAATCACTGTGAATGATATACAATACTTACATTATGTTATGTCTAAACCTTTACAGAAGAAACATCGTTACCAGTTCCGGAGACGGACATTAATATTCTTGCCCCTTCGTTATTGGTGACAGACGTACAGGAGCCAGAGCCGGCTGGGTATTCACTTTATATCTTTCTAATCAATGTTGTTAGAGCCTGAAGCCCTCCTAGTTCACAATACTATACATGTTGAATTATCTATAAGTCCGACATATGTTTGCCTACTGCTGTCTACACATTTCTTAGCATGTGTATCAGTCACAGATTCATTTATAATGCTGTCTACATGTTGCATACTTGTGACAAGTAGCCAGATCTCCTTCTCTTTGCAGGACTCTTAGAATTCTGCAGTCTGCCAGGCAGGGTGTGAAAGTACTTTGGATGTCACACAGGAATGCAGAACTCTATACGGTGCAAAAACATAGAAATCTGCAACCCTAGTTATATGTATTATTGGGGTGTCCTTTAAATAATGCACTGTATATAGCAGCATCAATGTCTAAAATATAATGAGTATATAGATCGCATAATCTGCCATAATATTTTAACGATTAAACCAGATAAACTATTATTGTCTTCCTTCTGATAGCGATATTCCAAACTTTGATATGAAACCAATTAGCCCACCGGATGTGGAGTTTGACTCAGAGCCACCTCCTGCTCCAAGTCAATCATTTCTACACAGTGATCAGAGTTGGTTTTCATTCCATATTGAGATCCCGGACATACTGGCTCAGGTAAAGATGTGCTGACTTTATTCTGGTTGTTTTTAATCCTTAAACTTAAGTGTATACTCTGCATAGAATAACCATTACAGCTTAGTGCAGTAGTTCTAGTGCAGAGAGTCTGTGGCTACTAACCCACTTTTTTGTCAAACCATTTGGGAGCATTTTGACACTGGACTTTGGCTAGCATCCAGTGACTGCACCCCTCGCCACAGGGATAATGTGGAATTTACATTTTTGCGCTATAAATATTATGTCCAACCGGGACAGCTGTGGGGTTATCCTGAATTGTCAGCCAATCAATGCCATCCAGGTTGCATAAAATTGCTATTGATACAAAAATGTTAATTGATCACTATCAGTATGGCTGAAGAGGGGGGAAGTATCCAGGTATTTGGGAGAATCTAATTGGTTTGACATTAAACCATGGATAGAACCAGGACACTCTAATTAATGTAACTACTACAGTGAGCTAGAATGGTTATGGTGCTTACAATTTCCTTTTAATCATTATTTTCTCACATTCACTGCTTCTCTCTCCACTCCCAGCAAACCTAGCTTCCCTTAGTTTTCTCTACCATTTTATTGAGTCTGACTTTCTTTTCTAGAATTCTGGAGATATCTATGAATGTAGCATTGATAACAGATACATCATGACACCAGATGAAATGAGTCAGCCTAATTGTTCCAGTCTGGATAATAGCGTTCCTGAAAATTCTGAGAACCTACCACATGACCACTTACCTGCTATGTGGACTCAAGATCAACTTCTTCTCAAATTGCAGGACATCCAGCATTGCTCTATGCTGGAGGAGGGACAATCTGTAAAAGTAAGTTTAAGGTGGAATTCCAGTTCTAGTTCGATATAACAGATATCTTAACAAATGTAGGACAGCACAACACAATCAATGCCATCAGGTTGTATAAAATTGGTATTGAAGAGAAATAGTAATTCCTCACTATTTTACAACAAACTAGAAAAGAAAATGGCAGTCATATCTCCTAAGATCAGGGAGCTATTTCCTTATCCGTATATTTAACATGTGATTGTGAGATGTGAACAATAACATTAAACATAGAATTTCAGTCTTTTATTCAGTGGCGCCAGTTCTGAGAAATGACAATAAAACCCAACATTAATGTGTCTGACTTTCTTTTCTAGGATTCTGGAGATTGCTATGAATGTAGCATTGATAACAGATTCATCATGACACCAGATGAAATGAGTCACCCTAATTGTTCCAGTCTGGATAATAGTGCTCCTGAACATTCTGAGGACCTACCACAAGACCACTTACCTGCTATGTTGATCCAGGATCAGCTTCTTCTCAAACTGCAGGACATCCAGCAACGCTCTGTGCAATCTGTGAAAGTAAGTTTAAGGTGGAATTTCAGTTCTAGTTCGATATAACAGATGTCTTCACAAATGCAGGACAGCACAACACAATGAATGCCATCAGGTTGCATAAAATTGGTATTGATACAGAAATGTTACTTCCTCACTATCAGTATGACTGAGGAGGGTGGAGGTATCCGGGAACTTGGAAGAATCGAATTGGTTTGACATTAAACCAGGGATAGCACCAGGACACTCTAATAGTAATTAATGTAACTACTATAACAAACTAGACTGGTTATGGTGCTTACAGTTCCCTTTTAATCATTATTTTCCCAAATTCACTACTTCTCTCTCCAGTGGCGTACACACAATCCATGGGGCCCTGGTGCAAAACTGACCCTGCCCCCACCACCACCCCACCCACCACCACCCCATTCCCCCCACTGCCACCCCATACAGACACGCACAGAGATACACACATACGTACTGACACATACATTCACATACATAGACTAACATGCAGACACACAGACACATACGTAGACACACACACACACACATACATAGACACACAGAAACACACACACAGACATATACATAGACACACACAGACACATGCATAGACAGACACATACATACAGAGACACACATACACACACAGACTCACAGACACATACATACAGTCACACACACATACATACAGACACATACAAAGACACACATACAAACATACATACAAACACATACACAGAGACACACACACATGTGCAAAATATTTTAGTCACCCTCCTATTACCTACCGTTTAGGTGCAGGAGGGTGACTTCCCTGGGGTCCAGTGGTCAGATTGATGGGAGTCAGACTTCCCACTCTGACTCCCTCTGCTTTCTCCAGCACGGCTCCTGGTGGTTGCTGGGAGGAGTGACTGCGGAAGTCACTTCCTCCCAGCGTCTGACATCATCAAAGTGGGCTCGGTCGCGCTGTTGCCAGGCCCACTCTGATGATGATATTCATTTCCATCGGGTTTCCTTAACAGCATGGGCCACCCAATGGGCCCCTTCACCTGCGGCCCGGGTAAGTATACTGCGCGGTCGGGGCCACAACACATGGCAGCAGGCACGCGGTATGTACGCAGCTGTCTCTCTCCACTCCCAGTAAACCTAGCTTCCTTTAGTTTTCTCTACAATTTTATTGTGTCTGACTTTCTTTTCTAGGATTCTGGAGATAGCTATGACTGTAGCAGTGATAACAGATTCATCGTGACACCAGATGAAATGAGTCACCCTAATTGTTCCAGCCTGGATAATAGCGTTCCTGAAAATCCTGAGGACCTACCGCAAGATCACTTACCTGCTATGTGGATTCAACATCAGCTTTTTCTCAAATTCCAGGACTTCCAGTATCGCTCTGTGCAATCTGTGAAAGTAAGTTTAAGGTGGAATCACAGTTATAGTTTGATATAACAGATGTCTTAACAAATGTAGGACAGCACAACACAATCAATGCCATCAGGTTGTATAAAATTGGTATGGATATAGCAATGTTAATTCCTCACTATCAATATGGCAGAGGAGGGAGGAGGTATCCAGGTACTTGGAAGAATCTAATTGGTTTGACATTAAACGAGGGATAGCACCAGGACACTCTAATAGTAATTAATGTAACTACTACAGTGAGCTATAATGGTTATCGTGCTTACAGTTCTCTTTTAATCATTATTTTCCCAAATTCACTACTTCTCTCTCCACTCCCAGCAAACCTAGCTTCCTTTAGTTTTCTTTACAATTTTATTGTGTCTGACTTTCTTTTCTAGAATTCTGGAGATATCTATGAATGTAGCAGTGATAACAGATACATCATGACACCAGCTGAAATGAGTCACCCTAATTGTTCTAGCCTGAATAATGGCGTTCCTGAAAATTTTGAGGACCTACCACATGACCACTTACCTGCTATGTGGATTCAGGATCAGCTTCTCAGAATGCAGGACTTCCAGTATTGCTCTGTGCAATCTGTGAAAGTAAGTTTAAGGTGGAATTCCAGTTCTAGTTCGATATAACAGATATCTTAGAAAATGTAGGACAGCACAACACAATCAATGCCATCAGGTTGTATAAAATTGATATTGATACAGAAATGGTAATTCATTGGTATCAGTATGACTGAGGAGGGGGAAAAAATCCAGGTATTTGGAAGAATCTAATTGGTTAAACATTAAACCAGGGAGAACGGCAGGACACTCTAGTCACTATAACCACTACAGCGAGCTAAAATGGTTATGGTGCTTACAGTTCCCTTTTAATCATTATTTTCCCACATTCACTGCTTCTCTCTTCATTCTCAGCAAACCTAGCTTCCTTTTCACTACCCCGTGCTTCCTTTCCTTTATTGATCAATATGTTTCAGACTCAATCGTTCAAACCCCCAACACCGTGGGTGAGCTTTCTAGTTGAGATTATGGCTACTATCCCTTTATAAAAGGAGAGCGGGTTATGGCCTTCACAGTTTGCTCCATACATAGTTTCTGCTGCCTTGTCAAATTAAAATAAACACACATTTTAAAAAAATTAAAAGAATCATATAAAAATGATAGAAAGTATGAAATGTATACGATAATTTGCATTTCTTGATCAATTGAGTTGCTGAATTCTGGGTTTAGTAAATAAATCAGAGCGTTTGATGCTTTATCAAAGGGTAACAATCACTTCCCAGGACGTTTAATATTATATTTACTTATCCCTAAATTCAACGACTATCTGTTTGTGAGATGTGAACGATAAAATTAAACGTAGAAATCCACACCTCTTTATACTGAAACTGGGCGCCTCCATCTTAGCTCCCTGTCAGTCATCGTTAAAAGCTCCGCCCTTTGCATCTGACCGTCAGCACAGAGCGATCATACAGAAAGGAGGAGAAATTAAACAATGTTTCTCTATGTCCTCTTCATTTGCATTGTGTGCCCTGGCTGTGCCAGAACTAAACAAAAAGAAAACAGAACATCTCATGAGAAACTGTTAACATGTATGTGATTTTCAATTTTTTATTCAATGGCGCACTTTCCAGAGGAGTGACGATAAAACCCTTTTATCGTGTCTGACTTTCTTTTCTAGGATTCTGGAGGTAGCTATGGATGTAGCATTGATAGCAGATTCATCATGACACCAGATGAAATGAGTGAACCTAATTGTTCCAGTCTGGATAATAGTGTTTCTGAAAATTCTGAAGAGCTATCACATGACTACTTACCTGCTGTGTGTACTCAGGGTCGGCCTACTCTCAGAATGCAAGACTTCCAGCTTTGCTCTGTGCTGGGTAAAGGGCAATTTGGGAAAGTAAGTTTATGGTGGAATTCGAGTTCTAGTTCGATATAACAGATGTCTTAAATTCAGGATAGCACAACACTTTATTCTTTCATTTCAGGTTCTGCTGGCCGAGCACAAGGAAACAACCAACATGTACGCCCTGAAATTCATAAAAAAAGTAAACTTAGAATCACCACATCAGTTCAACAAGTCAGTGAATGCAGTAATAAATATCTTGTGTTTGTGAAGAGGACCATGTCCTGTTTCTGTGGGGGGTTTTTTCATTTGATTTTAGAGTCGAAGAAAATAAACTTTTATTTTCCTTTCCAGCCTTCTGAGTGAAAAGCGGATATTCCAGACAGTGAGCAATAGGCGGCACCCATTCCTTATGAACTTGTTTGGGTGTTTCCACACCCGAGATCACGCCTGCTTTGTTATGGAGTATGCAGCAGGGGGCGACCTTCTTACATGCCTTGATAACAACCATGGCCCATTTCCAGAACCCAGAGCAGTGTGAGTATAAGCAGCATTCTGTCCATTTATCGATATCTCATCCAATGTTCTACAGATGGTGGCTTGAGCTGGGCTACACCTTCCATAACATCTTGTCAGATTATGAATTAATTCTGGGATATCACACTTTGTTTAAATTCTGTGTTTATTTAGTTTAGAATGACTTTAAACTGTATAACTTTATATCCTATGAGCTGCTGTATATATCTTTACCATTATGTGTCAATGCTGGATCAGAGCAGTTACTTCTGACCACATACACCGCTGTCTGCACCAACTATGTCTAATGACTCTGCAAGTATCGGCATTGGTGAATTGAACCTGCTGTAAGTGATAAACAACCAATCACCATTGTATCAGCTCATACATAACACACTAGCAGTGAAAGACATGAGGAAACCTGGGAATTAATGTACTCTGTCAGAATACAGAGTTGGATATATGGAATAAAACCATTTAATCGTGCAAACACTCTATCTTCTAGAAAGCCATTCATTTATTTATTTTTCCCCAGATTTTATTCTGCATGTGTCGTCCTTGGACTTGAGTATTTACACGAACAAAACATCGTCCACAGGTAAGCCTATAAAAAAACAAAACTACACGTTATTTAAGTGTTATTTATAGCACACAGTCTGTCTAACCCAGTTTAATTATCTAGATTAAGTTATTAATTTTAACCAATTAAAAACCCTGAACAATGAGAGCTATTCTAAGTGCTTCTACTGTTATGTAAAATGAATAAAACTTCCTTTTCTACATTTTAATCTAGAGATCTGAAGCTTGAAAACATTGTTCTGGATGAGAGAGGATTTGCGAAGATAACTGACTATGGTCTCTCTAAAGAAGGTAAATAGAATGCTCTAATATAATTTTAGATACAAAAAGGTCACACTTACTAAGTTCAAATCAGTTATCTTTCATTTAAACAGCCATTTAACATATAATAGGATGTCTATAAAAGGTATGCTTAATTCCAAAACTGACATAAAGGAACTTTATAACATTAAAAATAAGAGCATTTATTTTAAATGTAAATTATTCCTAAGTGGGCCTCCCGTTTCTTTTCCAGCAATTTTTTATGAATGGGCAGTGACTGATTGCTGAGAGCGTCAGCTGACCGCTCCCAGACAATCAGCAGTCGCCCTGCCCAGTGGCACTCCGTGCTTCTTAAAACTGTAATTTCAGAAGCCGGATGCCGCCTGAGGGAAGTAGTGATTGGAGATGGAGGCTCACTTTGAGATTAAACAGTTCAAGAATGGTTTGACCACTTGAGATAGGCGTGCGCCCTGGAGGCCTCCTGGCACCATAACAACTTCAATTACGTTTTTATGGTGCCCGGAGTGTAAGTGTATAAAGTACTTCTGTTTTTTTTTGTTTTTTTATCAAACTATATTTAAGTATTTTCCTGATAGTCAGACCCAGCCACGGTGCTGCCACTGAGATAATTGAAATTTTCGGATGGAAATGATATGAGAAGTTGCGGCAGCAACAAACTTAAAGAAAGTCATATCCAAATGTAAATTGCTCAAATTGAACATCTATCCTCAACTTATATACAATTCTATTTTCACTATTTCTGAGGAATTGGATACGGAGATAGAACAAACAGCATTTGTGGAACTCCTAATTATCTGGCTCCTGAAATGGCCAAGCGCAAGACATATACAAGATCTGTGGACTGGTGGAGCTTCGGAGTGGTTATTTATGTAATGTTAACTGGAAACGTAAGAACAATCTTTCATTAAGAATTTATAGTCAGATTTCTGTTTAGAAAATATAAAGAGATTCTGCCAAGTATTTGCTTTTAACATGACAGCAATCTTTATTAAAAAGTTGCTCTATTTATTTTCGGTTTTGTTTTATTACTTTTTGTTGGCCTCCCCTCTTCCAATAATTCCTCTCTCTCCAACATTCACACCCACATTTGTATACAAACGTATCTCACCCCAAAACAGACACCCCCAATTAATTAACTCCTCCCTTCCAAACACAGAACCCACATTCCCTGACCGTTATTTTTGCACTCGTTTACCTGTCATTTTCCTTCAACTATTATATTCCAACATTTCTTTACAATGAACCCATCCTTATCCAAATCACATCTCAAATTAACCCCTCCCCATAATAGATCAAGACAGCTTCAATACCCTGTAATTAACCCCTGACCCTTGGTTCCCAAATCTAAATCTTTTACCAATGAATTATCTCCATCTTTTGCTCTGCCCCTGGTCCAGTTACTTAGTGCTCCGGTGGCTGACAATGTGTGCATACATCGTGTGTAACCCTCTGTATACCACTTCTTTGTGAATACCTATACGGTCAGAGGATGTTTAGTAGTTCTGACTCTAATAAACATCCCACCTACTAACTTGCTTAAATGTTTTGTATTTAACTTTTTTTGTCTCCTGACAAAAAGAAAAAAGCCATCGTAACCCAATGTTACTGTACAAAATAAAACAAATAATACTAGATGACAATTTAAAAAGTAAATAAATAAAAACACCAGGAGAAAATTAATTATACAATAGACCATGGATGCCAAAAAGGTAGATCTTCCATGATGCTTTTTCATTGTAAAGGTATGCAAAGCATCATGGGAGTTGTTGTTAGAGAGCATCTGGGGATCTACCTTCTAGGCACCCCCTGATATAGACCTTCCAGTCCTTTATCTCAGAGCTCAAAAATTGATATTCCCTGCGGTCTTGAAAATCGCTCAGCGTTTTGAAAATTCCAGCCAATCACAGTGCATCTCCGGACGCGTTTCTCTCCCCTGCGGTACGCCTGATGATGTATTTCACGACAGCGTTCAGTTATCTTTCACATATTATATACACTCGCACACACATGGTTGTTGAGTTGTGATATACACATTGTGTCATCTGTACTACGAAGATTATAAAACCCTAACTATTAATTTATTGCTCAGCTTTCAGCTACTACAATTTACAACTTATTCAAACCTTAACTGAGGTTTTTTTAAATGTAATTTTTCTCTAGTTACCCTTCGAAGGCCGTGATGTTGAAACGCTTTATGCTAAAATTGCCAAATGTAAACTAAAAATTCCAGAGTCATTGTCTAGTGAAGCCACTTCAATACTGAGTAAGGTAAGTTGTCACGCAAATTTAATATATCATACAACCCATGCTGAAAACATGCATTCGCCATAGATGAGTGGAGATTCAGACCTAGCAAGCTGCCCTGAGATAGGGGAATTCTGTAGAATGGGCAGTAAAGAATGGAGGTCCGGCTGACCTTTGGGAGAGGAAATGTATCAGTTTTTTTATTTTATGTTTATACAATAGTTCTCTTATTGGTCATGCAAATTTTCAATGCTATATATTCACCTTGAATTTGATGTAGCTAGCTGTGTGTGTTAATGCTGGTAAAGAAACATTCATTATTACAGAGTATTAAAACAAAACCCGAAATATCTGCTCACTTATTCTATGACATCCATAAATGATGCAATATTACATCTAACACTCATTCTCTATAGTTATGTGACTCACAGCGCCCACTAGTGACTTGTATAAAAACATAGTAGCAGTTACAAACCGTGTACAAACACCACCACGATTTATCCTGGCGTAAAACATTGCATTGTCAGCATCCCCCTCAAACAGTGAGGTTACTACCCACTATATGTTTATTTATAATTAATAGCGATAATACACATTTTTCCTTTACCTTTGTTCTGTCCCTTTGAGTATAACGCTGAAGAAGTAAATACGAAAATACAAAAATAATGCATTTCACATGAACAGTACTGAGCATTGAACATCTCAAAATACACTCAGGGCTGGTGCAAGGGTTCTTGGTTACACAGGCAAAAATCCATTTAGCGCCTCCCTTCACACTCTTCTCCCCCTGTTGTGCAGTTCTCACACAGATATCTCATACCCTGGACGGACGCACACCCACAGGACCTCCAACAGGGCCCGACTTACTGTTAATATTCCTGATGTTTAGCATTAAAATTAACAAAACCTATTTTACAAAATTCCTTTTACAGTTACTGACTAAAAAACATGAGAAACGTCTAGGATCCAGTGAGAAAGACGCACAGGAAGTGAAGGACCATCCTTATTTTCAAGTACGTACATATGGTTTTTTGTTTTGTGTTTTTTACTGTGGTTTTGTCACTAAATATTTGTGTGATTTTAGGAAAAATAAAATCTTTGTAATATACTGAAATTCTAACACAGCCAAACGAGAACATAAGAAAACTAGGGAATCCTATTGGGATCTAAACAAAATGTGGCTTTTTGGGCATATTAGCTGTTATCTTGTATTTTATATAGTCTTGGTTTGTACGTGATGCTCATTATTTTACAAATTCCTTTACAGCATATAGATTGGAACGCATTATTATTACAAAATGTGACACCTCCATTTGTGCCAACCATCAACGGAGCCGAAGATGTCAGCAACTTTGATGCGATATTCACCTCGGAAGCGCCTATTATAACTCCACCAGCAAGACGAAGAGTTCCACCGTTAATGGAGAAGAAGACATTTGAGGATTTTTGTTGGAGGGCAGATTGGAGTTAATCTCGGTTGTGATCCACAATAAGAATTACTGGAGAGAGAATTAGCATTAATATATTCTACCAATTAAATCATTTATTGAAAACTAAAGTGAGAATTCAAACTGAATTTCAAATTTAGAGTTGAAAAAAAGAAAAAAAGAAACATGCCCTCAGTCAGCTACGATTCCAGATTGGCTACTTTGGCTTTAAATTTGCAAATCACTTTGATTTCTCATTTTTGGAAATAACCCTGCAAATTGTTGAATTGTGTATACGTGTATTATTATTGTTGTTAAAATAAAATAAAAAATTTGACATTAAAAAAAATTTAAATTTAGACGTGAATCTTTGTGTAGCAGAAGAAGGAGGAATAGTACCAGGTTTGGGACCCAGACCTATTCCATCCAGCGTTCGTCCCTTCTCCTAAGGGGAAATATAATAGAGAGTCAGCCTTTCCTTCCAGCAATACCCGATTAGTAATGTCAGTGATCTTCCAGACAGAGAGCCAGCCTTTCCTTCCAACAATAGCCGATTAGTAATGCCAATGATCTTCCAGACAGAGAGCCAGCCTCTCCTTCCAGCAATACCCGATTAGTAATAACAGTGATCTTCCAGACAGAGAGCCAGCCTTTCCTTCCAGCAATACCCGATTAGTAATGCCAATGATCTTCCAGATAGAGAGCCAGCCTTTCCTTACAGCAAGCCCCTGTCATATCCACGCCCCCAAAATGTGAGTGTCTGGGGAATGTGGGATGACAGGGGCCAATGGGAGCACATTTCATTTTTTGGCTCCCACTGCCCCTTTAAGAGCATGCCCGAGACGCGCGGCACGCTCTTAGAGCTAGGCGGAACACGTGACCGCATCTCGCGGTCCGTGCCCGCTGCGCGCGGCGGGAAGTGAGGACCTCGGCCGGCCCCCGGGTAAGGTAAGTACCGCTACAACTGGGAAGGGAAAGGGCTAATCACTGTTCCAGTGTGGAGGATTCAACAGGGAAAGTCCTTTTAAGCACTAGATCTTCCAGGACTAAGTGTCATCCAGTGCCTGGGGGTGGATAGAGAGTTCCCCATTCGGCTCCATGAGGGAGCGGTTCCAGGACCCCAGTCAAGTCACGGCGACTGTGGGCAGAAGTGCTGCGGTATTATAAAATAGGAAATGCACTTACATTTATTGGAGCTATTTATGTGGATCTGTTAGTGTGTATGATCACCTCTCTGAGGATATGTAGGTGGTGGGGGGTCTTCTCTGTGGTACTTATAAAAATATCAATATAGTGCACACTGTGTGATTGGGTGGGTGAGAGATGAAAATTCACTTAATAGCTCAGGAGCAAAGTATGGGTTTGCTCACTCAATAAGGTTCTGGTGGTACACCTCCCCACCTTGGAGAACGAAGTAGAAGAAATTCGTGGAGTGCCAAAGTGAGACGGGATGGTCCAGGGTAGTTTGAAAATGAGTATCTTTTAATAAATACAATAAAACAAAGAGTTAAAACACTGATAATTAAAAGTAACACAATGTGTATCGCCACTGCATAGGGCTTTGTCAAGTGTCCTTGAAATTGAAAAAGCTCTATGCTGTGGTGAAAAGCGCTGTTAATTTTGATTATAAGTGTTTTAAATGGAAAGACCCCTGATAGGCAGTACAATTACTAGCCTAATATACAATGATATAACAGTGGATGATGAATAGTCCTTTTAAGAATACATTTTCTTCCCCAGATCTTAAGAAACTCTTCAAGCAGTCTGGCCAGGATATAAATGGAAATTTATCATACCAAAACCTCAAGGACTCACTTGGGCCTGGCATACCACAGTCTTTAAAGGAATTTGATACCGATGGAGATGACAGATATTCCTTCACTGAACTGAAAGATGCTTTAGGTTTTTAATTGCTGCACCCGATACAAAGAATGGAGAAATCACTGAATTGAAACTATTCATACACATGTCCCATTGACCTCAGGGCCAGATTAAGTGCCTAGTGGGCCTGGTTCTGACAATTATGATGGGGCCTAATTACAGAATTTTATCGACCAAAAACACTAAAACAGTCATACCTCTAAAGAGTCATGTATCTGATGGAGTTGGTGTTGGAGGGAAACTCAAAGGATGCAGCAATAAGAAAACACATACTCTATGCTAATCTCTTTATCTAATTAATGCTTTCATCTTTCAAGTAAATCCATACCCCATAACAGCAGTGTCCATGGGCGGGGTAAAAGGGTGTGCCACTGACGCGAATCACGTGACCAGAACTGCCAAAAGGGGCGAACATGCCCAAAAGGGGGCATGTCTGTCCAAAGAATTGGAAGGCCAGCCTGGCATCAGTGTCCTTATGTATCACAGTGTCAATGTCCCCATGTCGCCCAGTCCCCTAGTCTCCCAGTGTCCCCATGTCTCAGTGTGTCCTGTGTCACTAGGATACTAGGGGACACTGAGAGACATGGGGACACTGAGAGATCCGGGGACACTGGGAGACGTGGGGGCACTCGGAGACGTGGGGGCACTTGTGAATACAGACATGGGGACACTGGGAGACATGAGGACACATACATTTGGGGACACTGGGAGAAATGAGGAGACAGACACTAGGGACACAGACATGGGGACACAGACACTAGGAGACAGGAGGACACAGACACTAGGGACACTGGCTGGGAGGCATGGGGACACAGACACTTGGGGAGACTGGGAGACATGGGACACAAAGGACACAGAGACATGGGGACACAGACACTGGGAGACATGGGGACACTGAGACACTAGGGACACTGGCTGGGAGACATAGGGACACTGGGAGACATGGGGACTCTGAGACACTAGCTGGGAGTCATGGGGACACTAAGAGACATAGGGACACTAAGAGACATGGGGACATAGATACTAGGGACACTGGCTGGGAGGCATGGGGACACAGACACTTGGGGACACTGGGAGACATGGGGCACTTGTGGACATAGACATGGGGACACTGGGATGCATGGGGACACTGAGACATTTGGGGACACTGGGAGACATGGGGACACTAAGGACATAGAGACATGGGGACACAGACACTGGGAGACATGGGACACTGAGACACTAGGGACAATGGCTGGGAAACATAGGGACACTGGCTGGGAGTCATGGGGACACTGGGAGACATGGGGACATTGAGAGACATGGGGACACAGAGACATGGGGACACAGATACTGGGAGACTAGGGGATACTGTGAGCCATGGTGATAGACATTTGGGGAATCTAAGACACAAGGGACACTGAGAGACATAGGGACACAGACACTAGGGACACTGGCTGGGAGGCATGGGGACACAGACACTTGGGGACACTGGGAGACATGGGGCACTTGTGGACATATACATGGGGACACTGGGAGACATGGGGACACTGAGACATGTGGGGACACTGGGAGACATGGAGACACTAAGGACACAGAGACATGGGGACACAGACACTGGGAGACATGGGGACACTGAGACACTAGGGACACTGGCTGGGAGACATAGGGACACTGGAATACATGGGGACACTGAGACACTGGCTGGGAGCCATGGGGACACTGGGAGACATGGGGACACTGAGAGACATGGGGATACAGAGACATGGTGACACAGATACTTGGACACCAGGGGACACCCGGAGTCATGGGGACACTGAGACACTAGGAACACTGGCTGGGAGACATGGGGACACTGTGTCACTAGTGTCTCCGTGTCCCAATGTGTCTCCCTATGTCTCACAGCGTCACCATGTGTCTGTGTCCCCATGTGTCTCAGTGTCCCCATGTCTCCCAGTGTCCCCACATCTCCCAGTGTCCCCTAGTGTCTCAGTGTCCCCTAGTATCTCCCTGTTGCCTTTCCCCCCATCTTTCACATACCTGAGCTGTAGTCTGTCTCTGCAGGCTGGAAGCTGTTGTCTGGATTCTCTGTGTTGTGTAGCTGCTCCCCCGCGGATCAGTGAGTAGAGAGAGGCAGGGAGATGCTGTAACTTCCTATCCCTGCCTCTCTCCTTACACAGTGACGGTGCTGGTATTGCAGAGTAATCTCCGTTTATACGGAGGAAAATACACGGCCAGGCAGCCTCCAATACCAGCTGTGCCTTAAAATACCAGTCAGGTGGTAAACCTAAGAGTAGTCTGTAAAAAAAAAAAAAAAAGTAAAAAACATTTATTTTTATTTATTTTTTTTACAATGGGCCTATTCCATGGGCCTGGGCCTGGGCCTGGAGCTGCAGCTCCATCAGCCCCTATGTTAATCCGGCCCTGGCTGTCAGAACAAAGACTTTCCTCTGCAAAGTTGTTGTGGTCCTTAGATTGACCTTTTAATTCTTTTTATTTGTTCTTAGTGTATGTAAAGCGCTGACACTTGTTTTTTGGTATCTCTTGTCAACAAGCTGGCATTATTATATTTAACCAGCAGGTGGCATGTGTGACTGTCAAAAGGTCAACATATACTAGTTCAAGATTACTAATATTACATGATTATTATTATTATTAATTTAATCTGTTATTTTAAAATCTAAAACTACAAAGAGATGCATTTTATTTGGTGAATGGCACATTCACTGCGATAGAAAAATTTTACTGGGCTATTTTGTATGTATGTGTTTATCTAATGAGTTCATTCAGTCATTCTAAATCGAACCATTTAGCGGTGTATTACAGTGTAAAGGTAGAGTAAATACATGGCAAATAAAGGGCAAAAAAGGTAAATTTTGCATTTTAAATTAATTTTACACATGAAAGAATGGGCCCTCAAAGATTTTCAAAGTAGATGCAATCATTGTTCTGTTTATGAGAAGTTTCAAAGGTTACACATTTACAAATCTCACTCTAGTTAATTCAAGATTGAATGCTAGAAAAATATGTTTTCTACTGGTTTATCAGTAGACATAATTTATTTATCACTATTTGATTTATTAGAATGCATAATTACCATATATACTGCTAAGATATCATAAATGCCACTGTAGACAGTTCTTAGCTATGTGTCTATATATGTAACCTCTATTTGTATATCTTT